CACCCTGGCACATGCCCTCCCATTGGCTGGCCAATGGGAGCAGTGGGGAAAGCCTCCAGACAGCATGTCACTGTGCTGCTGTTCCCCCAGCCAGGGTGGTGGTGGTGGGAGAGTGGCAGTACCTGGAGTCTCTCTCCACGAGCTGGGTCTGGTGGGCAAGTTTGGAGTTTTCTTCATGCTCCCCCGCACCCTCTGAGCAGGAAGCCGGAGTTGATGTTCCAGCTTTGCGGCAACCGCGAGGCTGGAGTGCCAGTGCAGGCTCCCTGCTATGGGGGTGGGCTGAGCTTGAGCCATGGACCACCTGCAAGGCAGGTCCACAGACCAGGTTTGAGAACCACTGGTCTAAGGGAACAAGGTTTTGTGTTGTCACTTGAATACACACTTCCTCTCTGTAGGCAGCTACATTACCACGATTGGAGTGGATTTTAAAATCCGGACAGTTGAGATTAACGGGGAGAAGGTGAAGTTACAAATATGGGACACAGCTGGACAAGAACGTTTCCGGACTATCACATCAACGTGAGTATAGTTGGGCTCCTTTGAATGCAGTGCCAAGCTTAGATAGGTCACTTGAATACACACTTCCTCTCTGTAGGCAGCTACATTACCACGATTGGAGTGGATTTTAAAATCCGGACAGTTGAGATTAACGGGGAGAAGGTGAAGTTACAAATATGGGACACAGCTGGACAAGAACGTTTCCGGACTATCACATCAACGTGAGTATAGTTGGGCTCCTTTGAATGCAGTGCCAAGCTTAGATATTATGGGCTCCTTGGAATGCTGCTTGGCTATTATGGGACTGGAGTTTCTCAAGCATGTGGTCTATCTGTGTTTGCAGGGATTCCTTTCCAAGCTCTGCCATGACCATTAAGGATGAGGTTTTGTGGTTAAGGAACATGGCTGGGAGGCAGGACTCCTGGATTCTTGGCTATGCAACGGATTTTGTATATGATCTTGGGCAGGTGTCATAACTCCTGCCTCCAGTTTCCCAACTGTAAAACTGGGAATGTTTCTCTATTTTATATACATCAGTAAATAGGGATGTTAAATAGTGTGTAATTGAATAGTTGTGTAACTGCATCAAATTTTAGTGGTTGCACGACTATTTGATAGTTGCTGGGGGCAGGGCTGGCAGGCAGTGCACTCTAGTCCCATTCCCGGGGAACCCCGTCACCCCGCACTGCTGCCTCTCGATCAGAGGCAGCAGCGTGGGGTGGCAGGCGGGAGCTGGTCCGCGAGGGGGGATAGAGGCAGGCGCGCGCGGAGGGG